GGGGTTCAGGACTTCCGCGCTTCAAAAAATCAGAGACCAGCGGCTTGGTGCAAGAAGCAGGTCGAAGGGGTTCACGACTTCCGCGCTTCAAAAAAGCAGACTGTGGAGGATTTTCCGGGTAACACAGAGGGACAGAATCTGCAGCGGATTGTGAAGGATCTGAGGCAGCATAACATGCCTAACATCTCCGGAGGTTAATCGGGGGAAAGGGTGAACCTGACGCTGGCGGGATTGAGCTGCAGGTGGGGACTGGAGGATGGGTGGTCCATGGAAGAAGGGGCAACGCACCAGGGGTGGGGGAGTGAAGTACCGGCGTGGCCATTGTGTGAATTGAATAGTTGGCTGGGGGGTGAGGGGCGATGCACCAGGAATGGAATGGTGGACTGTTCTCCGGAACAGGGGGCATGGAAGGGGTGTGCGGGTGAAGTACCCTGCAGACTGGGCTCTAACATTGTGTGAGCTGAATAATTGGCCCGGGGGTGCGAAGATGAGTGGGCACGGAGATTTTTTGGGAAACAGTGTTCACAACGTGGGACTCTGGGCCCGGTTTCCAGTACTTACTGTTACCCACTAAAAGGATGGAGTTCATCACACACTGCTACCCCTATACTCCCGTCGGGGTAGCAAAAGCAGGGGCACCCTGGAACTGCTCAAATACGGATCCTGTTGAGAATCTGGATAAATTGGCACGAAGTGGGAACCGGGCCCAGCGTCCCATAACGAGTACACTCAGAAAACTTCATCAGAAAATTCATGAAAATGAGACAATGAACTACTAGAAATAGTAGAAAAGTCTAATTGGCCTAAGGATGGAATTTTGGAAATTGAGATACAGGGGCCATTACCCGGCTTTGTCTTGGAAAAATTGGAGCTACTTAAGACATGTCTATGGCAATCTTCATGATTAAGCAAAATTCAGAAACGACTCAGAAAAAACCCCATCAATCCACTATACCTCACTCCGGCAAGACTGACTGCAGTGGAGCCACCATGCTGCTATGCCATACTCCCATCCTACCAACTAGCCCCCTCACTGGTAGGACGCATGATAACCCACCATCTTCTCCCACTCACCTTATTCTCTTTTTGAGGTACCGAAGAGCTCTTACCGTCGTTCCAGAAGCATGAGAATAGGCCACAGAGGTCCTACGATTGTTCGAAAAGCCTCGAAATCCCATACAAACCCTTCCAACGTTCTCCAAAACTGCCGTACTCCGTGCCGATCTCTTCTAGGTCTCACACCCCCACTTTCTGCTGGGTTACAGGGCAGTGCGACTCACTCCAGCTCCGACCAGCGTCGTCCCGGCAGCAACCCTTGGTTGTCCCGTGGAAAGCTCACCCCAAGACATCCCCAGATCTCTCTACCAGACCTCACGCTCCTGCATCGCAGGTTACAGGGCAACACCCCATCACAGGTCAGCGTCGTTCTGGCATCGAACAACCGCAGATCACTGAGTATAACAGCATTGAAGCCACCTAAGACGAGTTAGTAGGGATCCCGGAGTCCTTAAAAACATTCTTAGGACCACTAAGCACCCAACTCTTTTTGGGACATTCGAAGAATTAGAAAAATATAAGGGCGGGGGGGCAAGACTAAATCTGCCTACTATCCTAGATTCCCCCTTCTAACAGATGGGGCGTCGGTCCGGGCTTTCAGTCCTTGTACCAGAACTCACTTGATCTCATGCCCCCTTCTGCTAGGGTAACAGGGCACCACAACCCTCTCCAGTACCGATCAACCTAGCTCTGACGGACAGGAAGTGCCTTCCTCCCTCGACAATCCCTTAGCGGCAAGCCCCTAAAAAGGTTACATGGTTAATACCCCGGCGCCAACTACGGCGGACGATCAGGTTATGCCTTTCACTCTCGGCATAACTTCCCAAGCCCCAAGCTCCCCCTGGGTTACAGAGCAGAGGCTCCAGCACCGGCCTGTGTCGTCCCAGCATCGTCTTTCTAACCTACTGATCCTAACAAACAACCCTTTCTGATAAAAATTCCCTTGCTACCTTCCTTCCTTCAAATTAGCTTCTCCCCCCTTCGGCTCACTGTGTAGCCATCGAAGTCACTCCTTCCCTCAAAAAACAAAATCCTAACACACTGCTATAAACAGCCACCCCCTTGCCTTCTCTCCCCACCCGCCAGTACTGATCCGACCCTAAATCAATTTGGCTTAGATATCCGTAAAGGATTTTTGACTCAGATTCCCAAACCACGGTTTGAGAAACGTTTAGTAAGGATGTATGACACAAAAGTCTAAGAAAATATTTCCAAGAAGCCATATTATCGGAAGGAACCACCAACAGAAAACTAAATCAGATCAACATCATTAGAAAGAATATCCAGAATTACAACCTAGAAAAAACAAAGGAGTGAATTCACAATAGAGAAGACAAAATAAAAAAACCTAATTAGATCATCATCATTTGGTAAACATGAAGGATTGCGACATAAGGACTTTAAGAATCAAGAGATAGAGGGCAAACAGGCAATACAAAGTTGAACAATGAGAAAAACTATTGAAAATGAAACCCTGAGATCATGTTGACGCGCAACCTTTTTCACCCGCAGCAAGCTTCACATGAGATGGCGATGTCCTCCTTCGTCCTTGAAGAGTGCTTCGGAAAAAGCTCCCTCTGCCTCCTTTTCATCCACCTACCATCACTCGAACCAACCCCCACCACCTTCGGGAGGGAAACGTCAAGCCACCCTCCATCTGCCGGCTAAAACAGCTTCAGCTGCCGACCACAATGTCCACGCCAGCAACAAAGGCATCAACGGCCATCCACAACTCCACAAGGTACTGGATGGTGTAGTAATGCTTCGTCGAGCCCGTCGACGAGTTACCACAGGAGATTCAAGCCCTCAGCAGAGCCCTGTCTGCCACCTCAGGCAGTGTAGATGAAGGAGAGCGGAGGAATCTAAACTACCAGCCAAGAACCCTCATGTGCCATTGCCAACCTCTCTTCACGTGGTGCCGCCACGAGGCATTCTCGTCACCATCTTTCTCGCCGTCCTCTGTAAACCCCAAGCCACTCACCCACCTCACCTCCCACCCCCAATATTGCAGCGCGCCGCCGCACTGCGCCCTCCCTTCCGTCGCTGCTGCCGCCTGGCATCACTTGGTCCGTCTGCGTGAACGGGGCGCAGTGCTCCCGGTCGTACTGCGCCTCCTGATCCCTGACTGCTAAGATCATGATTAGCAGAAAATCATCAGTTTAGCATCATCATCATCATCCTCATCATCATATGTTGGTACTCCGAAGGACGGTAAGACTGCTTCAATGCGTGTCTGAAACCTAGGGCCAAGATTCTCTTGGGGACTGTAGTAGATTGTCTGCGCCTGGCGTCCGAAGTTTCCGTTCGACAAGGCTCCCCCAATTCCGCATCCACCAAGGCAGGGCAACCTATCAGCCCTGGTGCCTGTCACTTCTGTTCGGTCCAAATTATCTGCCGATTGGTAGGGTAATGGTCCTGAGCGCTGGTCACACTGAGGTAGGATAGCGGGATAGGGGGTGCGCTAGGAGTATTGACGTGAGGATGGGATGGGAGGTGGTCTCATATTCCAGGACACCCACGGCCTACTGCTTCAGGTGATCACTGTGTACTCAGTGACTGGCCTCTACAACACCATGGACTCGAAGGA